CTGGATCCCAGATGCTAGCCACGATGTGCATGTGGTGAGCTGTCCCTGGGCCTGTCTGGGCTCCGGGGGCTGCTCCCTTCGGGGTGAGTACACCGAGGGGGGAAGTCTTTGTGACTGGGCAGGTCTGGGGCCGACCCACCGCCCTCATTGGGTGGTGAATGGGATTGGGAAGGGGTACGGCCTTGACTCTGGGAGTTTAAACTTCCAGCAGCCTCCTGGCTGCTGGTGGGTCTTAGGACAGGGAGTCTCATGCTTGGGTCCCAGACGCTAGCCACCATGTGCATGTAGTGAACTGTCCCCAGGTTGCCAGTGCGCCATTTGGCTCCAGGCTCCACCTGCTGGCCATCTGGCCAGGACCTCTGGGGTTTTGGTTCTTTGAATCACTGCTTAGGTAGCTCCAGGTTGAACCTACTGTTCTTCTGGGACGAGAATCAATCCTAAAGATTCCCAATGACAGTAACTCTTCCTTTGAAGAACTTGTAATCACTGAACAATGCTGACCACCAAATACCAGTTCATGTAAAAAATATAGCTTGAGGCTTGTCCAGCAGAATCATATCCTGTTACCTGACATGATGATGGATCAGCAGAAGGGTCACATTATGCAGGGCCATGACATTAACTAGCACTCGAGAACCATATCCGGGGGGTAGATTCTGTGGGGGACTGTAGGCCAAACCCTGTGGAAATTCTAGCCCCACGGGTTAGCTCAAGAGTTGGGGTGGTGATGAACTAAGCTAGGTGTGACCAAGGAGCCTGCCATCAATCACAGGTAAAGGAACCCCCAACAGTCTGGACTGGTCAAGGCAGCACCCAAATGTGCATCCTGAATAGGGTGTGGGATGGGCCGGGCTGCAACTTTCACCAGTTCATACAAGGCCAAATGGAAGGCCAGACTTCTCTGAAACCTGGCCAAAACGCCAATGGCATGTATGAGAACTGGGTCTGGGAGTGGATTAAGTGGAGGAACTTGGGAAACTGCCCTGGTGAGTCACAGCTCCCGCTGGTGAACATGTGGTCCAGACTTGGTGGTCGGACAAGCTGGGCAAAGTAGTCCAACAGCTGGGTAATGTGTGAATTGGTAATGGAACAGGGTGGACTGGGCAGGACTGAGCAAATCTTAGCCCACAAGCTAAGACCAGGTTGGTGCCGGAAACCAGCTCCAGCTGACTGAGAGCTTGCAAAGGATGCGTGGATTGGCGAGATGATAGGAAGAGATAAGACACGGGCCACTATGACATGATGCTCATAATGGACAACTCAGAATATTTGCCTTCTTTATTTATACATAAATCATCACAAGCTTTTGCACAACATCCAATTGTTTCATTTTTCATTACATCATGGTTATGAAAATGCAAGAAACAATCCTAAAAAATATTTTTCTATTTCAAAGAAAACATTTTTAACAAACCATTACTCATTGAAACCTGCAATCACCTGGCTGAAGCCAGGAACTCCATGGTTGGCAGCGCATGCGATTACATAGTGACAAGTAGTTTACTTATACTCAAAATCAATTTTTACTAAACACAAACTAATATTGATTGAAATATTAAGAATACAGAATTAAAAGATCATAAATGAAAGGATTTTATAAAAGCATATAACAGATTCTTTGCTAAATCTTATAATCAAATCATGCATTAATTTTACCATCTCCTTCACCTAGTGCTGATTCAATTGTTTTTTGTTCTTTTGTTAAAGGGCAGCGAAAGGGATCAAGGCAATTCAGCTAATCTACAAACAGAGGGCCTTTACAAGAAACTTCCTTTCATCTATATAAATTATTTTCTTTCCCTAAATATAAATGCCAATATAAGATAGAAATTTTTATAAACTATTTTCTTTCCCTAAATATAAATGCTAGTATAAGATTGAGATTTTAAGCCATTTTGAGGGGGTTTTGTTTTGTTTCCTTTTAGAAGATGCCCCATATATTTGTGGTAAGAAACTAAAATGCGTCATGTCATGTGCTGTAACAGTTTGAGGTGTATGGTAAACAAACTCTTTGTACCTCCATGATTGCATCTTTTGTAGCCTCTATTTCAGGATATTATCAAGCCATTTCTTAAGGAAAACTTTACACTAGGGCAAACTTCAGGACAAAAGTGGGCACATAACAGGATGTTTGGAAACATAGTGGGCTCAATTGTACTATTGTATACTTTTAACTGTGTGTCATAGCCTTACCCTACTAAAGGTGTTTTTATCATAACATGATTGATCAATTTGAGGGGTCATACCAGTTACAGGAATCACTTCACATTAGCAGAAAAACAACAACACCCTCAGAAGAATTCCATGAAACATCAGAGAGGTGGTTGAGTTCCATACAATGGGGTGAGGCAGCAATGAGGTGACCAGAGACATCTGGCTGGGCCTTGCCAGGGAGCCAGAAATTCCTCGCAGCCTTGCTGAGGAGCGGTGCTCATCGCACACCCATGCCATCCAATCCAACTGCATGGCTACCCACAGGTTGGAACACAGGTCCTGCCGAGTTAGGCTCTTGCACCTACTGGTCTGCATGAGCCAGGAACACTAAGCCACAGTGTCTAAGGCAGAGGTTGGGACAGGTAGGGGCTGAGCCAAGCTGAGTCAGAGCAACCACTGGCATTCGCGGGATCTACGGCTGGGATCAGGCCCGGTTGGGGAGCTAAAGGTACACCCTGGCTGGGCTGGGTTGAGGTTCTCACCAAGGGGGCATGTGGGCTGGAATGGGGGCTGCATTCTGATCAGGATATGGTTGTAGTCTCTCTTGGCACAAGAGTGGACTGGGATTGGATACACTGAGCCAGGCCAGACTCCAACACCCTCTGGTGTCCTGGAGGACCAGGGTAGATGTGCGATGGACTAGGCAAGGTCTCAACCCCTACTGAGCCATGTGTGAGCTATATGTGGGTATGGACAAGCCATGGCTGGGCTGAAACATCCAAAACAAGGACCAGTTTGGGTTGAAGACCAGTCAGGAAAGCCACTGTTTCTGCTAAGATAGGAGGTGAACTGAGTGGTGCTGGCTCATGGAACCCCTGGTATGTGCAAAATCTGGCATTGGGAGAGGTTCTGAAGGAGGAGCCTGGGCAACTCCTCTGGCAGGACACAGACCCGGCAGGTAAGCGCAAGAAACATAATAGGAAACAGCCCAGAAAAGGCCATGGAAAGCTACCCACTGGAATACAATTGGCAGACGTGGGGGCAAGACCGGGCTGAATCTATCCACGTCATCCACTGGCAAATCCAGGCACCAGTGTGGGTCGAACCAGGTTCGGTCGCAACAAAGACTAGTGCACAATATGGAATGCCAAGGTGAGGTTGCCTGTACTGGAAGGGACTGCAGCGCCCAACCAGCCTGAGAACAAGAAAGGAAGTAGGCAGAGCCAGCAGGGGAATAAGGGAGGGTTCCTTTGCTGGACAGCTACTTCCGCAGGAGAGCATAGGCTGGGATGGGGGCAGACCAGATTAAGCAGAGCTACCACACCTGTGCGCCTCATGTGGACTAGATCAGGGAAAAGCCAGGCTGGGCTGATTATTCCTACTGGTGCAAACAAAATTAAAGTGGATGAGGTTTGTTTGGGCTTAGACGCAGCATCAACTGGAATCTGGGAGTGTGAGAGGCCTGGGAGGGAAATAGTGGGCTCATCCCTCTTGGGTTACCACTTCCACAGGAGGACATAAAACTAAGACAGCGGCTGGGGTGGAATGGGGTGTGGGACAGACTGGATTATTGCTACACTTACTGGCAAACCAGGGTAGGGGGCAGGCCTGGTGGGGGTTATTGTGGGTCGCTCCAACTAGGCTGCAGCTTCCACTGGTTTATGTGAGGGCCAACTATATGCTGGGCAGAACCAGGCTGGACCGCAACACCCATTGGTTCTAGTGGAAGTCAGGAGTGAAAACAGAACCAACCCAGCAATTGCAACCACCAGCTGATTGGAGTGATAGACGGTGCCAGGCCCTGTACGTGTTAGCACATACAAGAAGTTTCTTTGGAGATCTTCCTAATCTAAATGCTGGACTCAGAACCCAAATGAAGAAAAGAGAGAAGACAGAACGGGTCAACCAACCATGTCAGCTATGATGGACTATGTCAATCAGTGGATTTTTCAAAGACCTCATAGTGCTTGGAGTGGCAAGATTGACAGCGATTCATAACTGTTGCAATATCAAAACCACTTGAGCAAGAACCTCAGAGAATGCCCTACATCCGGGACCTGGGGAGGGTGGGAAATTGGGTGGGCCTTCTCCCTTAATACCCCCCTTTAAACATGAAGGTAACAATATGGAAAACATACTAGTATTATCCACTTTCCTGTAGCCCTTGAACCTTCTTACCCTAATTAACTGTGTAATAATGTTAAAATAAATTTTATAAAAAAAATAAATAAAAGATTTTACTTTTCAGGAAATAAAGACACAAAGAAAACCAAGTGATGCTAACTCCAGGTGACTTATTTACCTACTTGTGTTTTATTTTTGGGACGTATAATGGTCTGTGAGTTTCCCAAATATTGGACCCATGCCTGTAAATGATTTTAACACTTGTCCCTCAGAGTATGTGATTTTTCAAGAGTTATCATTGTGTAAATGACCTTCCTTGAGTCAATAAGGGCTGTCCCTCCATGGGCATCATGCCCAGGGAGGGTGTGGTGGACACTTGGGTTGGACCCCACTGGGCTTTCTCCATAAAGGGCTCAGCTTCTCATCTCACATCAGGAGCCTCTGCAGAGAGAGCTCCCATCTCCACTGAGCTCCTGTGCATGAACTGAAGTGAGGAGGCTGTGCCTGGTGCTGGACAAAGTGCTGTGGGAACTCAGTCTGTGAGTGGGGGAGTCCCTGTTACAGTTCAGGGGTGCAGCCATGATGTTGGTCCCAGGGATGTGTGGCACTCAACCCAAGGCAAGGGGCCTGGAGTCTTTTCAGGAGTGCACAGCCTGGGATCAAGGAGGTAGACAAACCAAATATCTGCCCAGTGTCCTTCATCTCCTTCTCTTTAGGTTGCCATGACCCAATTAGGCTTCCTGCTGCTCCTGGTTGTGGCCAGCAGCTGGCGCAGTGCAGGTGAGTTGCCCTCCTGTGTGGAGAAGCATCCCAGATCAGCTCTGGTCCTCCAGAGCAGAGCTAGTCCTGGTGCTTCCTGGATCCATCTTTCCCGGGGCACAGGGAGTGCTTAGGGATGCAGAGAGGCTGGTGTGCATGTAGGCTTCATGCTGATTTCTGACTGCCTGTCAGTGACTCATAGCACTGAGAGTGGAGCTGAGGGCACTCTAAATCAGGTTTTGAATCTCTGCATTGGTCCTGTGGGGGCATCAGTGAGCATAAAGCCTCCTCCCTGGTGTTCTCCAGGCTTGAGTTTTTTTGGTTTTCATGGGACCAGCATGGTTTGCTCTTTGGCTAGGAATGTGTCTTCATATTTCACAAATGTATTTCTTCCTACAATTAGAATAATGGTAGTTTATTAAAATGTGTTTCTTGTTTCTAATTTACTTTTTAAAAGTGATGTTTTTGAATATTTTTTTCCCCAGACCTTCAAAACTACTGAGCTCTGAGTAATGAGGAGACTGAGGTTTTGATATGTGAAGCTTAATTCTAAAGACAATGGTGAGGGCTGTGTTCAGTCCAGGTGGACTCACATGCCTTGTGGCTTGTGTTTGTTGTTCCTCTTCCTCTGGACATCAGAGCAGTTTGCAGACTGGGAGTCACAGACAGCGGTCTTCCTTCTCTGCCTCTGTTGGGCTCCTAGCTGTTGTCACCATACTGCCTGCCTCATCACACAGGTTCAGCCTCTTTAGACTACTTTGTTTTCTGCAGTGGCTTGATTATATTAAATTTGTTTTCCCAAGGTTTTAGACATAAATCCCTCTATCTTATTTTCATTTTTTTCTCTTTTTTTCCCTACAGATATATCTTGTATATTTACTCAACACACTTAAGTGTCCTCTGGACAAGCTTTCCTTCTGTTGATTAAGACATTCCATTCCATCATTCCCTTTGCCCATTGTGGTCTTTCCCATCTCATACTATATACATTGTCTTGTTTTGTTAGAATGACTAGCTCATTTCATCTGTTTTTATTAGCATTCTTTTAAAAAATATTTCTTTATTTTTATTGCTAAGTCAGATATATATATATATAGAGAGAGAGAGAGAGAGAGAGAGGAGAGTCAGAGAGGAAGATCTTCCATCTGATGATTCACTCCCCAAGTGACTGCAACGGCTGGAGCTGTGCCGATCCAAAGCTGGGAACAAAAAGCTCTTCCGGGTCCCCCACGCGGCTTTGTCCAAGGCTTTGGGCCATCCTCAACTGCTTTTTCCAGGCCACAAGCAGGGAGCTGGATGGGAAGCAGGGGCTGCCAGAATTAGTATCGGCATCCATATGGGATCCTGGCACGTTCAAGGCGAGGACTTTAGCCACTGGGCCATTGCACCAGGCCCTCTTATTAGAATTCTGTTGACTGTTCTGAAATCTCCTAGAGGCAAATGGGAATGTAGATTATGTTAGAATGCCCAGTGTGTAGGGCAAGGAGTATGATTTTGGGGGTTCATGTAGGGAGATATGCATAAGGCCTACTGGATGCTGGGTCACGTGGGCTGAATGGATCTGATCTGGACCTCTAAAAGCATTAGAATGCAGACCCTGGGCTCTGCTGTGGGTGTCGATTGGGTTTGGAACAGGTTACAATAGGACACTGGTTTTGTGTCAAAGCAACGGTAAGAATCAAACTCTGCTTGTTCTATAGCTGTGTCCTATATAGATACCAAGAAGTGGACCTGTTTCTATTCTCCATCTCTGCCCAGAAGCTGCAAGGAAATCAAACAGAAGTGTCCTGCATCACGTGGTAAGTGATGAGCCAGCTAGCCAGAAGTAATAAGATTTTTAGGCTTCTGAGAATGTAGGGTTTTGTTTTTTAATTTGTATAGAACTTGTAATATACCTATAATCATTCATTTATTTAAGTATAATCAGCCACTAATTTTTAAAAACTTACATGTGCATGTATAATACATGGGATACCACGCTGCAGTTCACCTACTTTTTGTGTGTAACTCAATGTCCTTAATGACTTCACACTGTTGTGCAACCATCACAAGGCTGTACTTCAAGACATTGTCACTTCCCAGAGTGAACGCAGAAACCTAGTGCCCACCAAGCTTTTCTCCCATGTTCTCCCCATTCTCAGGCCATGATCACTGCTGCTCTACTTTCCCCTGACTCTGGATCTGCTTTTTCCTCTTCATCTCACTCAAGGGAGATTATGGGTCATTTGTCCTTTATTCCCCACATGCTGTTTTACTTAGCATCATTTTTAGAGACTTATCCATGTTATATCATCACTTATTCATGGTATCACTTATTCATGATATAAGCATGATATTGTAAAACTGGGAGGGGGTGAATTCCAACATCCCCAAGCCTACTTAGTGACAGAGCACAGGGGAGGAGCTCTTAGGCATGATCCTGGGACTGAGAGTATGTAAAGGGCTGTGGAAAACATGTGCTGAGGTACATCATAAGCTTGCAGACAGTGAAGCTCTGGTTGGTTCTCTCCACAGATGGCTTGTATTTTCTTCGCACCGGGAATGGAGTCGCTTACCAGACCTTCTGTGACATGACCTCTGGGGGTGGTGGCTGGACCCTGGTGGCCAGTGTGCATGAAAATTACATGAGTGGGAAGTGCACGCAGGGTGATCGCTGGTCTAGTCAGCAGGGCAACAAAGCAAACTACCCAGAGGGGGATGGCAACTGGGCCAATTACAACACCTTTGGGTCTGCAGAGGCAGCAACAAGTGATGACTACAAGGTTGGTACAATGCCCTCTTTTCTGCCACTTGTGTGAGGGTGAAGAGATGAATTGGCTGCATCACAAACAGGACAGGAGGGACATTTGGGAAGTGGAAACATGTGGTAGGGTGGCAGAAGAAGTACTTAGTTGTCTAGAACCACAACTTCTCCCCAACAAGCCCATGCTATGAGGGTGTGGGACACATATGAGGAAGAAGCATGTTCTGGAATTGGGGATGTCTTAGGCGGCTGCCATATACCCACATTACCCCAGAGCTGTCAGCAAAGCTGGGATTGCATGTAAGTTTTGGCCTGGTGTGAACTCTTGACTAGTTTGGCTCAGTGTCTGTTGCTTTCTAGAACCCTGGGTACTTCGACATCCAGGCTCAGGACCTGGAAATCTGGCACGTGCCCAACAAGACACCCTTGACACAATGGAGGAACAGCTCTCTGCTGAGGTACCGCACCAACACTGGCTTCCTCCAGCATCTGGGACACAATCTGTTTGGCCTTTATCAGGTATGCTGGGCTGTTGGGTGTGGGCACATTTTTTTTTGTGTGTGTGTGTGAAGAGGGAGCCATGTGATGTGAGTGGGGTAAATGTGTGGGATCTGTGGGTGTCCCTGGTCACCTCTGAATGCCTTTGCTTGGCTGATTTTGTTACTTATGGTTCACTGTGAACTCATGACCTGCCCCTCCCAGAAAAGAATGAGGCAGTCAAGGGCAGAGACCTTGGGGCAGATGGGGAGTATGAGAGTGGGACAAAGAGTTTGGGAGTATTGTAGTGACACAGCTGTGCTGAGAAAGGAGTGACTGTTACTGAGAGTGGTTTGTGGGTAATGAATTAGGTTGAAGAAATTCCTTTCTCTCCACAATTTGCCACCTGCACTTCTCTCCTCACATTACCTTTTTTTTTTTCCTCTGCAGAGATATCCAGTGATATATGGATTAGGGAAGTGTTGGACTGACAACGGCCCAATATCACCTGTGGTCTATGACTTTGGCGATGCTGAAAAAACTGCCTCTTATTACTCACCCTATGGCCGGGGTGAGACTCATCGTAAATTCTGATTTGTCTTCATGGAGAAATTATTCATGACACTTAATTATTGCTGAGCATTTATAATATTACATTCTTCTTTGGTATCTTGACGTGGTCTTGCATCATTTATTGTCACTAAAATGTTGAAGGTAGATTTCCAGTTATTCCCTCTTTGGAGTGCTTGAATCCAAGAATATAAAAATTTGTCTCTTTGTAAGAGTTAATAAAAGGCATAGGGTAGTGTTCCTAGGAAATAAAAACTGACAATGCGGTGAGAGAATTTAGTTTCTGTAGTGAGAAAAGCTATTAGTGGCTATAAGACAAACATTTTTAGTACAATTAGCTTGCATCTATGAAGTCTTAGATAAAAAGTCATGGTCATTATCTTGCATTTTTCTCTGTGGATGAAGGCAGGTGATGGTAGAGATAATCCACCTCTAGCAATTGGAGATGTGGGAGATAAGCAGCAGTTGGCTATCCCTGCTCATTGCTGATCCCTGCTGGACCTTATTATGATCTTTCTGTTGAGTCTCATTTCTCCTATATGTCTTAGGCAGAAGAATGTCCTTTTGTAATTCCCAGTATTAGTTCTGTTCTCCCAGTTGGAAAGAAATTTCCCACAGGGACAAGTTCACAGTAGTCATGCAAGAGCCACTGGCAACAAATAGAAGCACTGGGCTCTGCTGCAACATAGAGGTTTGCTGCAGCCTCAGGCCTAGACTTGGCAATCTCTAAGCACCCGGACAGCTCAAATAGAATCTGCTTCTAGCCATTTCTTTGCACATGATTGTTTCTTTGTCTCATCTTTTGCAGCTGAATTTGTTCCTGGATTTGTTCAATTCAGGGTGTTTAACAATGAGAAAGCAGCGAATGCATTATGTGCTGGGATTAGAGTTACTGGCTGCAACACTGAGCTTGTGAGTGTTTTGGGAGATCAGTTCCTGATGTTTGTGTGTATAGGTGTGCGATTTTGTCTGTGTTTGTGTCTTGCGGATACCTTTGTCTATGTGTGCTATCTGTGTTATGTGTACGTATGTAGGTCGGCCTGCCTGTGTAACTGTGTATCTTGTTCCTGTGTATGTTCTACCCTGTACCAGTGTTTGTACCTGCTTGTGTCTATCTCTGAGTAAGCCTATTTATTTTATGTTTTCAAAAAGATTTATTTATTTTATTGGAAAGGCAGATTTACAGAGGGAAGCCGTGTCAGAAGGAATGATCTTCTATCCACTGGCTCTCCCCAGTGGCCAAAATGGCTGGAGTTGAGCCTATCTAAAGACAGGAGCCAGGAATCTCTTCTGGCTCTCTGCCATGGGTGCAGGGTCCCAAGGCATTGGGTCATCCTCCACTGCTTTCCATATGCAGGGAGCAGAAGAGGACATAGAGCAAGCAGGATACATCTCAGTCCCCATATGGGATCCTAGCACTTGGAAATGGAGGATTAGCCAGTTGACCCAACTTGCTGGCGCAAGTGTATTTGTTAGTGTGTGTACTTGCACATGCTTCTCAATAACTGCATGTTTGAGTCAGATTTTGTCCGTGTGTGTCTCCATGTCAGTGTGTGTCCCTGTGTCTTCTTTTTTGCTCTCATGCCTTTATTTTGTTGATGGTGTCATATGAACAAAATCTATTATTTAATTATTTATTTATTATTATTTGAAAAGTAATTTTCTACACAAAGAGAGAGACAGATGAGAGAGATCATCCATCCTCTGGTTCATTCCAAATGGCTGCAATTGCCAGAACTGAGCTGATCTGGAGCTGGGAACCAAGCACTTCTTCTGGTTCTCCCACATGGTTGCAGGGTCTGAAGGGCTTGGGCCATCATTTGCTGCTTTTCCAGGACATGAACAGGGTTGGATCAGAAATGGAGTAGCTGCAACATGAACCCGCACCCAGGTGGGATGTCTCACAGCATGGCAGAGGATTAGCCTGATGTACCACATTGCTGGTTCTGAACTGAGTTTATTTCAATGGAGTCCAATTAATCAACATTTTCATCTCTTTACATACCTTTGCTTCCTCTGAGATGTACTAATCTATACTGAGGTTGCAGATATGTTTGAGTTGTATAATAATGGAGAGAAATATTAATATTAGCTTCTAGACACTTTATATTTTCGTGCTTTTTGTTTCTCATGTAGGAGAAAGAACAATCCCTGCTCCCTCTCTCAGCATTAGTTTGTCCATTTCCCAGCCACAAGGAGTCCAGTGCTGTCATAGAAGGTTTTTCAGAAGATGATGCAGAGGATGAAAGGGGGTGGGCATTGGTAGTGGGTTGGGGTAGGTGCCTTTATGCCATTTTTGTGACAAGCATTTCCTATGTTGGCTTCCCTGGCTGTTTAGTTAGTGAATGCATGTTTGCTTAGTTTGTTAGCTGCACTGATCCTGAGAAATGCACGCCTAGGACACCTACCAGGTACTGGATGTTAGGGATACAGAGACGACTCAGTCATCTTGAGGAGTTCATGTTGAGCAGGGTACAGAGGTAAATGCTAAATCACAGTGTCGTGCAGTGTAGCAGAAGTACAGACAAGGGATTCTGGCACACAACATAGGAGCTCCTGCCTGCAGTGATGACGAGTGTTGATTACCCAAGGATGGTGGAATTTGTGTGAGGTTCAAAACATGTCTAGAGTTCAACAAGTGCAAGGGGCGGAGAAGTACATTTATTAGTAGATGACTAACATGTTCATAGTCCTGGCTGTATGACACAACCAGGTGTGTTCAGTGGGCAGCAAGATGCTTATAAATGTTGACAATGCATATATCAGGGGGCTGGTGATGTAAATACATACAGGAATCAGGGCATGGAGGGGCTTGTGTCTTATGTCAAGTATTTGGATTTATATTGTGAGTAACAGGAATTACTGGAATATTTGGAGCAGAAGGCTGAGCTGGTTGGTTTTGGTTTTATTAAGATGATGTTTGTGTGGAAGATGCATATTTAAATCTGGTGACATTAGGGGCAAGAGGGCTTGAATTAGGTGTAAATTCTATTTAAAAGAGAAAGGCTGTGTTCCAGGGTGTCTCGGTAAAGTTGAGTGAACCTGAATGGGTTCCAGAGGTATGCACAGGATGAATTGAACATGTTTTGATTCCCAGGTGATTTCTGGGCAGGGGAAATGTAGAGGATGAAAAGATTTTAGTTTTTTTTTTCTTTTGGGTAACTGGGTTTCTAAAAATTAGGATGTAGAGAAATCAGGGGAAGTAGACTTTTTTCCCCTTTAAATCAAGAGACATTTGAGATATCTAAGTAGACACATCTAGGTGTTGATTCTTCAAGGAGTTCTCAAGCATAAGAAATACCTGGAGCAGAAGGAGAGATTTGTGATTCAGTGCTGTGCGATTGACACTTTAGAGTCACGGGACAAGATGAGCCACCACAATAGAGAAACTAAGGTAGACTGAGCATTGGGTGTTTAGGGCATGTGCAGAGAGGAAAGGGCCAACTTTGAGCCTGAGAATCCATACCCTGAAGCATAGGATAAGGGATCAACATGTGGCACAGTGTGTTAATCTACTCCTTGTGACAATTGCATACTATATTCAAGTGCCTTGCTGGAATCCTGGTTCCTTTGCTTTCAATTTAGCTTCCTGCTGATATTACCAAGAAGCTCAAGCACTTTAGTCCCTGCCAGCATGTGGGAAACAAACGTTAGGTTTCTGGCTCCTGACCTCAGACTGGTGCAGACTTGGGTTCTTGTGTGGTCATTTGGGGTACAAATCTGTGTTCACAAGATCTCTCTCTGATTCTATCTCTCTGTCACTCTGTCTTGAAGTAAATAAATAATATTTTTATTTTCTGTTTAAAGAATTACAAAAGAAGAAAAGTTCAAAAGAAGTAAGAAAAAAGATCATAATTTTGAATTCAATGCAAAACAGGTGTTTATGTGAGTGAGTGATTAAAGGGAAGTAGATTCAGAAAAAAGCTCCAGGGGACTTGATCCGGAAGAGCCTTCTGGTGTCTGCAGCTAATTGATCCCCTCCCTGTGTTCCTTCTCTGTGTTCCCAGCACTGCATTGGCGGGGGAGGATACTTCCCTGAGAGCAGCCCCTTGCAATGTGGGGATTTCTCTGCCTTCGACTGGAGTGGATATGGAACCCACCAGAGTTACAGCAGCAGCCGGGAGATCACCGAGGCAGCTGTGCTCCTGTTCTACAGATGAGAGCTCTGCAGTGTGAGACCAGGAATCTGCATTCAGAACCCAGAGTGTCAGAGACAGGAAAACTGTAGAAATAATAATGAAAACAATAAACTGCATACATTTATGCCTGTCTGCTTTGAGCTCTTTTCATAAGTCAGCTGACAACTTCAGAGATACATGAAAGAACATGTGTTGTTCTTTGAATTCCACCACAAGCATTTTGGATTTGAAATTTTATGTCCCAACTGTAACAGAACAGGAGCATCCTTGTTCCTAGAAGACTCTGAATTTGATTTAGGGATTGGCAAAAGATTTCTTGTTAACTCTCTACAATGCATTCTTATTGGCTATTATGTACTAATAGAATACCTTAAAAAAGATAAGAATATGTGTTAAATTTAGCAGTAGAGCATAAAACAGGATAAGGCTAGCCATTACTTTTATTCGTCAAGGTTGGGATGGCAGAAGAACCTCCTGGGGTTGGATGTGGTTGGGCTGGTCTGGCATCCCATCTTCACCTGGTTTCTCAACAGGGGAGCCAACAGTGAATGACTCATCCATCCCCATGGGATATTGACCATACTGATTGATTTTTGAGCAGAACTCAGGTATTGCATATTGTATTGTTCAAGTTGAAAATCTGATTATTACATTCTTCCAATCCCATCATCACCACCTTTTCACTATTCACAATTAGAACATTGGTTCTCAAGTGGGACAAGAGGCATGAATGGTTGGGGTGATTTTGATTTTTAACTTGGATTACCAGATTTACAAATAAAGACGGAAGGGACAAATGTAAGCTGAATTTCAGACATAAAATGAATCATGTTTTTTCTTTAGTATAATCCATGCAATATGTTATCTGCCAACACTCTCTTGGTACATTTGGCCATTTCTATAGACCATTGTAGTGTGTGGGGGGGCTTCCAGTAGGAATGTTCCTGGCAGATATTGATCAGAGGCCCAAAGCACTGAGAGCCATTTGCCATGGGTCAGGAAATCCTTTCACAATAATAATATGTTCTGAATGTTACAGGGTTTGTTAAAAAAAAAAAAAAACGTAGACTGTAGAATATGATTTAAATGCTGGAAAATGGAAAGGTTTGATTTAATCAAATGTTACCAGATACTGAGGAAGCCTGTTTTCGTGACCACAGACAATGGAATGATGGCTTTCAGATGCAGGAAAATCAAATTCAGCACAACCAAGGTTAATAATGTCCTCTTAGACAAAGATTATTTACTATTCTCCTTTCCTGAGTTTGATGAGAGTGGAGTATCAAATATCTTTCAAATCTTGATATCCTCGGTTTTCCATTTTTGTACAAACCGGTTTTGTGCTAGTACAGTTTCATCTTCTATATGAACCGAACAGACCCATGCAATTTTGGTATTCTTGGTCCCCGCAACCTCTCTAGTTATTTTGTTAGTAACATAATCAGCTATTGACAGTTCTGTACCACTGCACACCTTTGACCTGCATCATCAAGCATGAACAGTCTTTAAAATGTATGTAATACGTGTACCTCTAAAAGCATTTCAAACGTGAGTTTAAGATGTCAGACAACATGCTGGCTGTGTGCACCTCTATGGAACACTAGGACAAGCCTGTGGGAGGAGGTGATCTGGTGGTCTTCGGAGGAGGCCCTGCTGCCATCACTGCCTCTCCATTTTGCATTGAGGCTGAGCTCTCTTGAGTTCTGCTACTCTGCTGGGTCGATAGAGAAATTAAGATCTAATGATATTTCATGGTTATGTCTGGTTTATGGTCATTGCTTAGCCACTGTTGGTATATCTGCCTTTTCCTTTCTTGAGTATTCCTGCCTTTCTCCCTACTTAGTTGTCCTCTTTGTAAGCACATGAGTGTATCTCTGAAGTTTATTTATTGAAACCTAACCATAAATGCACTGGCAATAACAGGTGACATCTGTGCTTGGTAATTGGGTCATGAGAAGATGGTTTTCCCTCCTGAATGAGATTAACACTTTTCTAAAAGGGGCTCCAAGTTGCTTTTTCCCTTTCTTCATTTGGATCCTTTCATCTTGTTAACACTTACTTGTTTATTTTTCATTAATTTTTTTTCATGATACCATTGTGGTAATTTAAACCAGTCGGCTCCCGTGTCTTAGGACCAGTAGCCATGCTAATCACATTTCGCTGGCTGACAGGAACCCAGTGTTTTCAAGAGAGCGTTACCAATGCTGAAGATCAAGAGTCTCTGAAACAAAAGCTAGAGGGGACGTTGTTAAGAGGACAGTTCATCTCACTGCTTATGTTAAGAAATCAGAAACATCAGATACGTGAGCTGAGCTTGCATTTGAAGGAGATAGAAAAACAATAAAGCAGTCTCAAGATTAGCAAGAAAAAAGAAATAACCAAAATAAGAGAGCAAATAAACCAAATAAAGACCAAAAGAACATTACATAATATCAATGAATCAGAGAGCTGGTTCTTTGAGAAAATTAATGAAATAGATTCTCCACTAACCTAACTAATCAAAACTAGGTCTTGACCCACACTGAATTATGTAAGGTCTCGATCTGGGGTTGAACCAGGTAGACCTTGGCTGTAGTGCCCAAAGTTAAGAGCCAAAATATGTGTGAGCTGGTGAGGCAGGGCTGCTGTGCCTGCTAGAACAGGACGTGGGCCAAGTCAGACTAGACTAAGAATCCACTGATATGTGCAAGATCTGCCACTGGGAAGTGTCATGATAGAGGAACTTGGGGACATCCTTTGTCAGGATGCTGTTGCTGCAAGTGAGTGCAAGAACTGAGTTGGAGATGCTCAGACAAGGCCAGGATACAGTATCCACTGGCATATGTGTAGGTCAGTTCTGGGTGAGCCAGGCTGAGCTAGTTCATAATACCCAATGTTAGATCTGAGAACCAGGATGGTGTGCAGGACAGGCTGAGTAGGGCCACAGAACCATCCAATTCACAAAATGGCTGGAACTGGGGTCTGGCTGGGCTGGGATAAGCTGTAGCACCCACCAGCATGATCTAGAACTGGAAGCTAAGTGGACTGTAACACCCACAGGCAAATACCAAGGTATGAGGGCCTTGCCAGACTGGGCTGCAGCACCCACCAGATTTGGTGAACCAAATGTGGGGGGTGAGCCCTGTAGTGGGGCAGCAAGGACTCCCTTGCTGGGTGAGTGTAAGAACTGGACTGGGGGTTGACCTGGCTGGGCAGGACTAAAACATACATTGGCCTGCATGTGAACTGTGTCAGGGGAAGAGCCAGGCTGGGCTAAATGATCATATCCACTGGTGCATGCATGAGCCAGAATAAGTTTAGGCGGGTTGGACCTCACCGTATCATCAGCTTGCAGATAGTAGAACAGGGGTAATTTCTGTCAGGCTGGGACCTGGGAGTGGGCCTAGTAGGGAATGAGCTGTAGCTTCCGCTGGTGAGCTGAGAACCAGGGCAGGTGGCAACCAAGCTGGACAGGTATTAGCATCTTCCAGCATAAGGGTTGGCTGGCTAGTGGGTTCAGTTGGGCTGAACTAGACTACCAATCACTGATGTATACAAAAATCAAATGGGATGTGGGATTGCCTGGACCAGTCTGCTGTACCTACTGGCATGTGCAGGGACTGAGGCTGGGTGTGGACCTGGTGGGGGTTATTGGGGATTGCTCCCATTAGGCTGTAGTTCCCACTGGTGTGTGTGAGGAGTGGTGTGTTGTGGGCGGGGCTGGGCATGGTTGCAGCATCCATTGGTTTGTGTATGAGACAGGGCTAGGGACAGACCTGAGCCAACAACTGCAACCATCTGTGTGTGTGTAGGTTGATGTGGTGATGAACTGCGCTTACCCTTACTTACTGGCATGCACAGCAAGCTCTGGGGTTACCTCTGGTGAGGTTTCTTTCACACCGCCCCCAACTGAACTGATGGTCTCAAAACTCAAAGCACAGTGAAAATCACAGGATCTGTAGTCTGACTGTGGAGTGCATGTGTCAGAACTGGGCCTCCTTGGTTTCTGAAACCTGTGCAATGCCTGGCATGCCCAGATCCACAAGAGAGACATGACAGATCATTGAGGCTTGCAGAGAAGATCTAGTACCATGGAATGCAGGACAAATTGGGCAGCTCACCTGCCCAAACTTTGACAGCAAGTCAAGAGGAGACTCTAAGGTGAACTGTCAGACAACAGACCTGGAAAGGATTTCCTCAACCTTGTAACAATAAAACCAACACCTCAGAACTTTCAAAACCACTTGGGAAGTACCCTTGGAACGTGCTCCATATTGAGAATCCAATGATGACATCTAGTGGCCATTCCACATCCCTGTGTACTGGTGTGGTTAGCCTGGTGGGCTAGTCCTCTCCCATTCTCTTCTCCCTTTTTCCAGATATAGGAACACAAAGAAAATTGCTAACAATCATGTCATCTACTTCGCCCCATTTCTCCACCCTTCCCACCGTAATCAGTAGTCCACATGTGTGTTCGTCCTTCTCAATAATGTAGACATCATCAAAAATAAAATTTAAAAAAATGTTGTTTGGGCCCGACGCGGTGGCGCAAGTGGTTAAAGGTCCTCGCCTTGCACGCCTGGGATCCCATATGGGCGCCGGTTCTAATCCCGGCAGCCCCGCTTCCCTTCCAGCTCCCTGCCTGTGGCCTGGGAAAGCAGTCGAGGACAGCCCAAAGCTTTGGGAACCTGCACCCGCGTGGGAGACCCGGAAGAGGCTCCTGGCTTCGGATCGCCATAGTATCGGCCCGTTGCGCTCACTTGGGGAGTGAATCATCGGATGGAAGATCTTCTCTCTGTCTCTCCTCTCTGTATATCCGCCTTTCCAATGAAAATATAATAAAAATAAATCTTTAAAAAAAATGTTTGAGAGAGCATGGTGTGTTGAGTAAGCAGCAAGATGTTGATTAATGTTGGAACACGTGATATAGCAAGGGACTGAAGATGGAAATATGCACAGAGCACGTAGAGTACTGTGTCTTATTTCCAGAATTTGGAATTTTTATTGTGTGTGATGGGAGTCACTGGGGAATTATAAACAGA